AGTACTTGATTTGGCGCAAAACTGGATCGACTGTGTATTCTGCAAGCTTCCCAACAATGGAAAATGCTATGCCCTCTGCCATTATCGGATTCTTTTCCTTTTTGTCTTATCTTTTACTTTGGAATTGCAGATTATTTCCTTGGTTGCTAGTGATGATTATCTCTACAGAGTTATTGAGAAAATTACAATAAGAGAACATCAATAATTGTAAAATCTTAGCATTCTCTACAGTAAATTAAATGAGAAAATAGGAACGAGGGAAGTTGCATCTATTAGTTATCATTGCACAACCCATTGTTTTGCATTCGAAATATCAAATCATTTGACTTTAAAAAACTTTTATTGGAAGGAATAAAAATTTATACGAAAGAACAAATACTATTTTATTTTATTGAAATTATTTATTTTAAGAGTGTGTTTGTCTCTCATTATTGAGAGAAAAATAGATAAACTTAATGTAGCAAACAATTTTTTGGAATAGTGATAGACAAACAGGGGCTAAAACTACAATGTGTTACTATTTCAAATCAATACCCGCATGACAAAATGATTCAGAAAACATATAATATGTTTTTAAAATATTAGTAATCTTAATTCGAAAAATAAATAAATAAAATAAAATAAGGCATCAATACTTGTTGATAAAAGAAAAAAATAAGTTTCTCACTACACAACAAAAAGAAAAGGAAACAAAAAAGGGATAAAATTTAAAAATATATAGTACAAAAAAATAATATTTATCATGGAAAACTTGCAGAAAGTTATTTTTTGAAAGTTATTAAGCTAACATTAAACCAATATAAAAGAATTTAATTACAAATCAATCTACTTTTTTAATAAAATCTTAAAAGATCTTCATTTAATTATTTGCCTATATTTTAATTATTTTCTATTTTTGAAATATGATTGAAATTGAAAAACATGAAAATAAAATAAAAAGATTCGGTATGGATAGAGCAATTCGACACACGGGATGTGTTTTCATCCTCATCCCATTTACTATTCTGGTTAGGGTAATTCGGCTCGAGTAGAGCAAAATTTTATTATCTGTATCGTTCAAATGGAAGATTATTGAAAAAATGAGAACAAAGTTTCAAATCGATTAAGAGCCTATTTGGGCCCCATTAAAAGGTTAAGAATGTATTTTGAAATAATAGATTGATAAAGAATATGTAATTAAAAAATAAGAAAAAAATTAAGTTTACATATAATATTATTTTATTGTAAAATGTGTGATTGAAAAAAAATAAATACTTTATTTTTTAAAAAATGGAAATCAAACAAGGACTAAACATGAAGAAAAGATAAACTTATAAGTAAGAGAGGGACAGAAACTCAAAAGTGAGTTCAACCCTAAAAGAAAAAGAATAATCTTGCAGTGCTGCTAGCACTGCTTCTGTACGTGTACAGTGGGATTTCCCCCCTTGCACACGTAGCATATCCGAAAGATAAATAGTCATCTTCCATGGTTATTATTCAAAAACCTGCTTTTGTGATGAAAGTAGGCTAAAAATCAGTAAACTGAAAGTGGATAATTAAAAAGCAAATTTAAACAGATACAAATATATAAATTTTTGTAAATTAAAATGTATATATATGTAAGTATGGGTGAGAAACATTCTGTTTCCCCTTTCGTCCCTATAGTTTTAGTTTTTGGTCAACAATGCCCTTATTCATTCTTCATGATTGACATTAAATCATGCATTAAATTTTTTGTGGTTTACTTTTTTATGTTTATTATTCTAGCAATAATTAACTTTTAGACTCATTTCCTTTAAAAACATTAATTCAAATAAAAAATTAAACTTAAAAGAACTGAAAGTTCACATTATAAATGTATATAATTTAAGAGGGAAATGTGTTTTTGAGTAATGCTTTTTTTTTTTTTTTTACGAATGTATAGTTAAAAATAGAAAAAGAAAATTAGATTTACGCGTAAAACTATTTTAT